CCTGTGCTCCTGTGGGATACCCCACCCACCCCAGCATCTCAGCATTCATGAGCCACACCTGGCACCTCGAGGTATGTAGAAAAAACATTTAAAGCTGTGTCTACGTCCAAATCACTGATTCTCCAAATCAGCATCGAATCTTCAGATTCAGATTCAGCTGAATTGGGGACAGTGATCTGAATCATGAATCGAATCACTGTCCCCAATTCAAGCCGAATCTGAATTCAAATTGAGTATGGCCCATTTTGCATACCCCTAGTAACTGGGCAATTTTAGGAGAAGCCCAGTTTTAACTTATACAAAGAAATAACATTTCTAGTTATCACTGTTGTACAAAAAAAAGACCAAAAACCTGAACTCAAAAGGTCTGAAAGCCAAAACAAAAACTACCACCATTTTAAAAAATATTACATATATACTCTGTGATTACTTTATTTATGGATGTCTAACTAATGTTTTTTTAAATGCCTGAGTTTATAACACTACTGAATCTTTTCAGAAAAGTGAAAAAAAACCATAATGCCAATAATACAATTCTATATACCAGTAATTCTCAAGCAAGGTTCCACATTACCCTGGGCTGCTGTGAGATCAGTTGAAGAATGCTGCAGGTGAACTGTTACATGATTCACAAGACAGACCCATTCAGTTTCAAAAGAGGATTGGGGGGCAACTCGTCTGGGACCTGAGTAAATATGGTACTTGTTATTTTTCTATAGTCAAAAAAAAAAAGGTGGCGGGGGGGAGCTAAGAGCTAACATTTTCTGACAGGTGCCCTGAGTCTAACAAGATTCAGAACGCTGCTATACACAAAGGATATGTACCCATACCAGTCCTAGCAGATCACTTTTCAGTCACCAGAAATGTTAATACCTACAGTATGTGCAGAACTAAAGTCGTAAGTCAATTGCAGCCAGATTAGTGGCCTGGGATCTTTTATGCCAGTGGATTTTGACAGTTTACATGCTGCACTAAACATTATTTCAAAATGTGGTGTTTAGTAGTAGCATAATTAACAGGGGAGCACAAAAAGTACCAGTACTGCTTCTGCCAGCCTAGCATACCGGCATCACTCAGGGGGAAGAATTGCCCTGCTACACCTCTGGGTTTTAGGCAATTAACTCTTGGTGGGTGCCAAGGATATTTGTTTGCTCCTGTTAACCAAATTTGCTGGCTATTCTTTTAGCCAATAGCCTTTTATCCTCATTATGGGACAACACAAGAGGAAGAAACTGATCATTTTTTATTGTATCCTTCATAATCATAAATGCTTCAGTTAAATCTCCTGTGTCTCATTTCAGTATTAAATTATCCTATTTAGGGCATTCTCATCTTACACATGACTTGCTGACATGCTGTTCTTCCTGCAGTGTTGCTGACTTTCCTCTTAAAGAGCTTTGGTCAAGATGCCTTTAAAAAACATTCTGTAGACACAATGCTGGAGATCTCAAAGCAGCCTTAAATATTCAGCTTTAATTTTCAATGACGAGTGATTTGAGGGATTTGATTTTGATAAATTCATAGATTTATTTTAAGACTGCAATGCTCCCTTACAGTAATTTACTCTGACATCCTACATAACACAAGCCAAAGAAGCTTACTTAATTCTTACAAGAACCAAAGAATAGCTATTTACTTAGCCAGACCATAGGTCTGTCTCCCAAGGGGGAGTGAACTGTGTACAACCAGGGTCTTTTCCACTGTTCCTCTCTCACTTTGATGCCAAGATAGTCTTTGGACTTGGTGTGGGGTCTTCCACAAAGGGGCAAATGTGGTGTTCCTCATAACTTAGTATTATATTGGTCACAAAATACATCTAAGTCATGCAGCCTCCACCATTTAAGATGTAGGAATTTCTGATTCAGACACTGTGGGAATGTGCAGGGGCAGGGTGAGGGTGCTTTAATTAGTGTGACTCAGAGAACCGTTCTAATTAAAGTGCCCGCAGCATCTCTTACTCAGCATCCTGCACTTCAAAATGGTGGTGGGGTGCTTTAACTAAAGATCATTCAATGAGCTTTAAAGTGTCCCCAGCACCATTTTGAACTGTAGGAACACTGAATACACAAGACAGAGAAGCTTGATTAATCAAGACTATTTTGACATGCTGTAATTACAGCCTGTTGGAGCAGCGTCCCTGCTTATCTACCAGCACCCACCCCTAACTCCTTTATTCAATAGTTACTGATGCCCTTTTCCTTCAAAAATGTGTCCAATCCCTTTTTGAATCTGTCTATAATGTCAACTTCCACAACATCTGGTAGCAATGAACTCCAAACTTTAATTATATGCTGTGTGAAAAAGAACTTCCTTTTGTTAGTTTTAAACTTACTACGTACAAGTTTCATTTTGTGATCCCTAGTTCTTGTACTGTGAGAAAGTAAATAATAAACCTCTATTTACTTTCTCTTGGCCATTCTCCTGACACACCTTAAAATGGCCAGTGTTGGGGACTAGAGATGCCTAGCATGAAAACCATGAGAGGAATTTAGACAGGGCACCTTTAAAAATGCTTCAAAATTAGCACCCACTACCCACTACATATGCGCTTTAATGAGCCTTAGCCTATTTTAAGGTGCATTAAAACATCACAAAAAGAAACCAAAACAAAAACAAAATACTGTGCCCTTTCACTAATGCACAAGAACAGTAATATCTTTATAACACTGGAAGCATGGACTAGTATCATGACAATATTCAAATTTGTTCAACTCTATACCAAAAAAAGAAAACTTTTCACCTTGGTCAAGAAGATGAAAATTTGTCTCGAAACCAATAGGCACACGGAAGCTACATGCCTAATGGAATGCAGGTGGCAGCTAAGGAAAGGATAGTGACATATCCTAAGCAATAGCACTGCTTTCTGTCACAGCACTAGCAACAAGTAGGGCTTTTCAGGCTGAAGCCTCCCTCCAAAAATATCTGAGAATTTCATAAGAAATTAGTTTTAGTCAGCATTTTCAGCATTAGGCTATTATGATTTTTGCATGATACTGGGCACGTCTAAATGTGATGCTATGTCGCCATAGCAATGCACTACAGCAATCAGCGTCAACGGGCAAAAACCATAACACTGCAGCTACATCACTGTAGCAACCCACTCCCTCACTGCTACGGTGATGTACCAGCTAAAAATAACAGTGCACAGCTGGCACAGTATGGGCTGTTACTTTGCCATCATTACTTCCAAAAGGAAGTACTAAATGGTGGTGCGGTAACGATGGCACCATACAGCCATGTGTAGATGCACTCACTTTTATGGTTTTATTTTTCCAATAGACAGAATGATAAAGTAGAAGTGAGGTATTATGGTGGGCTTCAAAACAAAAATATTGTGGAATATTTCATGAAAAATTCCAAGATTTTGACTTTTCAATCCCAATTTGAGATTCTGACAATTAAAAATTTCGTGTAACTTCCATGGAACCAAAGGTCTAGTTCTGACAATTTGAGTAAAACAGGTAATAGAATTCAGACAAAGATCCATTCAGCTACCTGATAACAATTCATTTGGAATTCATTTTCCACAACTAATGATAAGACTTTGCAGAAGGCAAAGCTCTTCTGATGTCCTGTAGGGCTAGCAGTAGCAACTAAGGACATAATAGAACAGAAAAAGTGAAAAGAAAATAAGTGGAGCAGTCCTCTGTGACCCACACTTTTCCAAAAAAAAGAAACAAAAAGAAAAGAAACAAAATATGATGGAAAAAACACATACCAAGTGGGCTGTGCAAAGCTTTGGGTGGTGATTCGATTCAGAGGAGATTCAGCCTGATTCAGTGGCTGAATTTCATCAGGAGACCAATAAAAAGTCCAAATCGATTTGAAGCCTCTGAATCAATTCAGAAATTATTTGGAGATTTGGCGATTCAGGCAATCCCTGCTCGCCGCCGCAGGGAGCTAGACCCGGGGTCTGTGCCGGTAAGTAGGCAGCAGAGAAGGAGGGGAGGGGAGGAGACTATGGGGGGACCCCCACTAGGTCCCATCCCCTGCCTGCTCCTCCAGCCCCGCTAAATGCCCCCCTAACCCCTGCCCACTCTCCTAGCCTCAGCTCCTGGCTCTTTAAAAAAACACAAAAAAAGCCCCACACTCTCTGTCTCCTGTGGGGGGAGGGAATCCCTGCTTCCCCACACTTTATGGGGGGCTCTGCCACAAGCCCCCATCCCCCTCCCGCTCTCCCAGCCCTGTTGATGGCTGCCCTGCCTGGCCCCAATGTCCTCTCTCTTTAAAACAAACAAACAAACAAACAAACAAGCCCTGCACTCTCTGGCTGCTGCAGCAGCTGTTGGGGCTTCTGGGGACTCCTGGCAGAGTCCCCCACATAGTACAGGGAAGTAGGGGCAGCAGGGATCACCCCCCACCCCTGGCCTGGCAGGAGCTGGTGATTGCGGGGCTTTTTTTTTTTAAGAAGCCAGGACATTGGGGCCAGGCAGGGCAGCCATTGACAGGGCTTGGAGAGCGGGTTGGGGATGGGGCTTGTTTGATTCGGAGATTTGGCTGATTTGGCAGTAGCTGAATCCTCGAATCAGATTCAGCCAAATCAATTTGGGACAGTGATTTGAATCACCGAATGAAATCACTGTCCCCCAGATCAGCCAAATTTGAATCTGAAGTGAATATTAGCCACTTTGCACAGGTCTAATACCAAGCAAGATGGGAAAATAAGGGAAGACAAAAACAGAAAATGGAGCAGTCCTCTGCGACGCACACTTTTCTAACAAAGTAATGTTGAAGGCAAGTTAGTTTTTCTAACTCCATTGTTGGTTTAGACTTAAGGTCCATATTGTGCATCTGCCCCATCTATTTTTCTTTAGGGATGACAAGAAGAGCACTTTCGTGCCTCCAAAGCTGTATTGGTGTTTTTATAATTCAGTCCTTAGACTGAAGGCCCACTTCTTCTCTCCTCAGTTTAATTAATTGGTGCAATTCTATTTATTTACATGGTTTTATTCTAGAGAATAAAGTCAGGCTCTAGAAGAATAATGTAGGTCTTATTACAGGCTGTTTCACACCACACACTCACAAGTTGTTTTTTTCCCTGCACTAAGCTGAATTATTGAAAGTTTATTAATCTTATTTCTGAAGTGAAGCAGTTTGGATAAGAATCCAGACTTTCCTAAAAAACAACAGTTTACAATTCATTAAATATATATATTTAAATTCATTTTCATGACAAAACCTACCAAGAAGAGAAAATAGCCTATGATTATATTCTTAAGAGGTTGTAATGGCATGAAGAAATACCAAGAACTAAGCCCCATTTTGTTAGTCCTAGGATTATAATCATGATGCAACAACATTATAGCAATCAGGTTTTTCTTTTACTCCCCAAACATGCACCCTTCCTGCTATTTCCAAAGCCCCAAGAACTGATCCATTTGGATTCCCCAAAGGAAATACTTTATTCTTATTATGTCTCCTTTGTAATCAACACTGAGAAATGTCACTTTGATTAAACACAATTCTGAATGACTAAGAACACAGTACAATAAATTCTCCAGAGCTATCTTTCAGAAGAACTGATTGCTCTCCAGTCTTAATCCCCCGGAGTCTTATTTAATCAAAATGATGTTGCTAATTAAGGATTAAAACTCAGAATAGAATCAGAAACCAAGATTTTTTTCCCTCTCCTTTGGGCAGGTCAAGGAGGCAGAGTCTGCTTTAAGGAACCAAACTGACTCTTCCATCTTCAGTAAAGCTGCCTTATGCACAGAAGTTTGGATTTAATCCAAATGTGAACATAACTGAGGGGGAGAAATTAGAATAGCCTAGAAACTTATCACAAATGGAACAGGGATATGATCCAATAATTTTCTAATTGTTTCTTCAGTTTACATTGCCAATATTCAAGTAAATGCACTGGGTTGTTGTTTTTTTGGGAGGCGGGGGGTTGTACTGACAATGCTGACACTTCTTGGATGAAAGGTTCTATAGAAGTTCTGGGCAAATAGCATCTATTTAGACTCACAATCTTGACTGAGAAAGGAAGCATCAGTGCTGATCTAATGAAGAGATTTCTGCCACAAGCCAGATTCCAATATTTCAATATTTTGTCCTCAAGAAAAGCACAAACATTGAAAACAATGACATTTCATAAAACATAGAGTTTGGAAAAATTCCAATCTGTAAATGTCGAAGTACAACAAGTAAATACTGCAATGAAAATATATAAAAAGTTGCATGGAACATTCTGTTGAAATATTTTCAAAATTAAATCCCATTTTCCAATGGGGAAAAATTTGGTTAAAAAAATTCCAACCAGCTCTGGACATGTATAGGTATTTAAGCTGAAACACAGAAGTCAATTGACTTCTCTGGGGTTCTAATCACATAGTAACAGAACTAAATATAGAATACAAGAGGCCTGGTTCTAAAACTGGAGTTCAAATCATTACCCCCACCACCACTGAAAGTAGTATATTTGAGTTCAAGGAATGTTGCCAGTTCTATAGAGTCTGGCCCATCAAGAACAAAAAGTTTAGACCTAGCAAATAGTTTTTTTTTTTAAATAAAATAAAGCAATTTAGTGGCATGAACTAAGAACCCAAATAGAATAACATCATTTCAGTAGAATAGCTCAGTTTGGCACTTGATCTTTATTAACTCTGATCTCAGTGGTACCTAAAAGTTTAGAAATGTATATCTGTAAAGAAAGTCAGGTACGCTTTTTGACAAATAGATGCTATAGCTAAAAACAAGATTTGTAATATGAATTCTTTTTCTTAAAAAATGTATATGAACTTGAGCATTGAGTTAAACACCGTCACTTTCCCTAGTTACCCTGTTGCAACATAAACACTAACCAGTTGAAAAAAGAAAGGAGTTCCTTTGGTCCATAATCCTCAAGGTTGAATGCGCTCAATGGACAAACAATTGCTCTAATGCCACCTGTTCCAAGACATGCTGTTAAAAGTGCAAAGTAGAACACTACTTTCTGCTCCTTTTGGGCTAGGACATGAAGAATATGGCGTCTGTCTATAAAAAAGTCTTCAAAGGGAAAGGCAACAAGAGGGAGCAAGGCTGTACCTGCAATGGGAAAAAATGAACATAGGCAACAGATTAAAATGAAGTGCGTTCATTCTTGGAACTCATTTCTATTGAGAGCCAGCTGGTACCACTGCAAGTCCAGAACCTTTCTGGAAGCTACTATAATTAAGGAAGAAGAGTGACTGTCAATGGCAAAAATGACCTAACACACTACTATAACATGGTATATAATAGTGATGTTATAGCTGTGATGGTCCAGAAATTAGGTGAGGCAAGGATGATAGCTTTTATTGGACCATGTAGTTGGGATAGAGCTAGAGTTAGGCAAGCTTTCGAATGCAAGACATTTTTCCTCAGGTCCCCAATCCTAGCAGGATTGATAGGACCAACCTGAGAGAGAATGTCTTGCATTCAAAAGCTTGTCTAACTCTATCCGAAATACATAGTTGGCTTCAAGAAAAGATATCACCCTAAAAAATTCTTGCATCTTGCCTAACATGTGCCACAGTCAGGGCCGCACTGGCAATTTGCCAGGAGCAAAAAGGCTGCAATTAAACGACATGCAAGTTCAGGCAACATGACTAATTTGCGCTTGTTTTTTTATCTTCCTTGATGGAGTAACAAATTGCTTCCTTGAGCCCAAAAGATCTAGTTTATCACTATAGCTAAATGAACAACATTTGTCAAATAATTTGGCAACTGTCAGGAGGTATACTTTCAAATAAGCAATTTGATGAAAGTTCCCTGGTTTTTCTAGGATTAGTGTTTCTCATTGTGGTTCCAGAATAGGGTGGAAGTAGGACTCTCCTGACAGCAGAAGTGTAATAGGGCAGTTCTGTGCCCTGGGTAGCAACAGCACATGGGGCAGCACTGACTGCTACCCTGCCAGCAGCTATGGTATAGCCAGTTTTGTGTGCGTGTGCATTCCACCACCCCTTCAAGGCAGCACTTAGGCTGTAACCCTGCTGGTTGCTTTCCCCTCCCCCTATCCAATAGAAACAATACCATAGACTGGAGGTGCCCAATTAGGACTGGAAAGTGAGCCCTTATCTCTTGTGAATTGCAAAGCCCTAAAAAATCCTTGTTGTTTGAAGAAGGATGAACTACAGGTGTACACAGGCTTGCCCTGTAAGCATGACTAGGGATGTGATACACAACATCACAGTCTGAGGCCCCAATCCCAAGAGGATTGATAGGACAGCTATATTTAATGAGGTCTCACAGTCGAATTTCTTGCATGAAGTAGATATAGTGAGTTTTTTCAGCATTTAGTCTACACAATTTATTCATTGCAGAACAATATTTTATATTAAATATTTACTAGAAATTTGCCCTTGTTACACACACTTACATGCCTCCTTGGAAAAGGCTTTGTGCTACCTTCAATAGTTGTCAAGGAAGGATTAAGTTGTCTGAGTTACTCAAGTAGTCTGATTTATAATCAAAGAGTCCATGACTCCATTCTGTGTTTACCATTACAGTCCATTTGTGCACTGATATTCTGTTTAGATTTAGATTCAAAGGGCAAATCCTATAAGAGGTAGCAAAGTCGATGCTCAGAGTAAGGAAGGAGATAGGAAAAGTTATGTTGCCTAGGTGGTTCATTCAGTGCTTTGGCAGTCTAGATAAACAGCCCCTGCAACACTCCTTCCAGACTACTTTTCAACAGCTCTCCCAGTCCTTTTTGCATTATTATTTTTCTTTTAAATAAACGTTACTCTTTTGTTCAGTCATCCACAGAAGGTGCATTTAATTGAGGCATACATCTAGCATTTAAGTGCCAATCCCATTTTAAATATTATGCTGCAATATCCAGCCAAAACATTTCCAGACGTGACAAAGACAACTGCTCACATTCAAACAAGCTACTGTCATATGTAAAAAACCTTATTTATCAGCAATCAGTAATTTTTCATTGGTTGAAATCTGACTCAGGTCTGAAGCAAACTGATGTTCCAACCCAGCTGCTACTTCTCCAGCTGTGGGATAAGCAGCAGCAGCAGCAATTCTTTGTTACATGTCTCCCTACACCATTTTGCCTCATCCCTATTCAAGACCTTGTCTAAATGTTTATAGCACCCCAGTTTAGGCTGAAAAAATAGTTCATCACTGTGACCTTATGAAGTATCTAGGAGGGAGGAGGGTTCCACTCATTGAAAAGAAAGACAGTTTATTTCAAATGCTGTTTAAACTGATTTGTCCTAATCATGATTTTTCTAAGGTTCAGATGTCCCCCTTTCCAAAAGGCATGCAGGTCATTAAGAATGGTTTGTAGAGTACTCCTGTGTATTGAGGGGAATGTCTTGGAAGACCAGGAGATTGATAAAATGTACACAAATTTCCAGGAAACTATTTAGAAGAGGGTCACCTGTCCTTTAGACCCCAATGGGTCAGACAAGGAGGCAGAAAGTAATAGTGTTAATCAGGCCCTGCGTCAAAATCCAGCTTCTGTGTTGAAGGTAAAAGTTATTTCTGCAATATATACATCTATGTGCACCTCACCTGGCAGTTGTGCAGCTTTTACGTACAACAGAATCCTATTAACTTGCACCCACTCTGGAAATGCACTGCACTCTATGACGTTTAGAAAGTGATCAAAATATTGAATTTTTCAATGTGACTGGTGACTTTGGTCGCCCAGTTTCCCCGCTTACAATGAGCTGACCTTCAGAAAATGATGAAGACTTTTTTCTTTGAAGAATTAAGCTCTTTTAGGTTGTCAGAATCTGGGCATCAAAACAACACAGCACCTAAAATACCTAAACGTGTTTGAAAATGTAGCATTTTTTTAAAACATAATTTCGTTTTTCTCAAGGCACTGCTTCACAAGCACATGCTAACAAATACATTTTTGTACTTTTTGCACAGAAAAAAAATTAAGGCAGTAGCTATTAGAAGCATTGGGAGAGGCCACCTGGTTGTAGGATTATTGGAGTTTCCAGGTAAATGTTAAATGGCATATTTTATGGTCTTAGCAGAATGTAAGCGCATACAAAAAGTAGGTTGCTGGTGAAACAGTTGTAGCATAGCACCTACCTAGAAAGTGTAGAAAGGTGCAGATATACACCAGTTTGATCCTCCCCACCAGACATTCGGCAAGCCAGCCCACCAACACAGGCGTTAACATGGAGGCACCTACAAAGCACATATTTACAATGGCTGCCTGATAGTTGTGATAGCCTAGTTTAACAGTGCAAAAGACAATCATGTTGCAGACGATGCCAAAAAAGATGAACCTGTCACACAGCTCCACCAATAGCAAGCAAATGGCCACCTGAGGTTTCTCCTCGGAGTTGGATCCAGCTGAGTTTCCAGCATCCTTTCGTCTCCTGGAGAGTTTCTTTCTTTCTTCAGCAGCAGTGGGATTCAGACACTGCTTCTTTTCTGATCCTCTTGGGTCTACCCCAGGCATGCTTGGCTGCACTGAACAAGACTAACTTGAGTGGCTTAGGTTATAAAGTATACGCATCTGTTATCCTTTACTGTTATTAACAAACTGGTAGGACTCTTGCCTGGAATTCCACACCTTCCTACTACAATTTCTAAGGCATCTATCACTTCAGTGCTGTTACATTTGAAATCAAAGACCCTAGGAGCCATCCGTCTTACAACTTCTAAGCATGCAAATGCTGCTCAATTCAATCTGTTTGTTTAATTAGTTTGTTTCGTGGTTAAAAAGATTCCCTCCCTACCCCCCAAAATTATATTACCCATTAAATTATGTGAATCCAATGCAATGCAAACAATTCTACCTGCATGATACAGATAAAGGTTTAAATACTGAGGAAGGCTAAACATTTTCAGCAGAATTCAAGTAGCAGATCAAGAAAATAATTTGGGGCTAATATTCTGATACTTTAATTAAGCAACAAGTGAAAGACTGCAAGTAAAGAGATAAAGAGAGAAAAGATGCATGTTTTTAGGTGAACAATATCTTATCATTATTACACTTGTTATTTTTAGTTGAAATTCAGATAAGAAAGTTAATTAGAAAGGAAAGAAAAGCTACTACATTTAAAGTAAGAGAAGTAGATTTTATAAGAAAGTAATTTGAATGTATTAATGGAGAGAGAATGCAATCAAAAAGCACCCAACTCCGGAACATTTTCTGTAGCCTGACCTTGTGCCATAGTTGAAAAGTGTCATAGGGAAATGGACTAAAAATGGTGCTGGTTCAAATGCATTAATAATCATCCTGAAAAGAAAACTCGGGAAAAGATGTTGGTTATATTGCTGTGTAATGCACCCAATAGCAAACCCAAAAACAAATTTACAGAACAATATCAGACCTCGTGGACCTGATTCTTCATTATTGCAGAGTTTGTTTAGCCATTTACAGTTGTCCAAATTACTACCACATAACAATAGTAAGATTCTGCACCCACTTTTCAGAAATGCAATTCACCACACATGGCTTAAAACAGTGGTGTATCAGACCTGTTATATGTACACAGAATTATCAAAAAAACTTTAGGCTGTCTGAGACTCTTGGGAGATAAATTCTGGTTTGAATTTCTGTTTTTCCATTGCTACTCATCTGCATTCATGTTCTCCACCCCCTAGCATCCATTTGATACTACCTACTTTTATACAACACATACAAAATAGTATACAAACCATATAGGAAGACCCAAAACAGAATGCCAGATCTAAAACTCTCCAAATGTTGGTGACAGATCTAAACTTTACTATTCTAACTTATTCTAAAAATGACCCATATCAGAACATCCCATCTAGAAATCCTAAAAGTAAGATCCAAGTAGCAATAGGGCATTTTTCTCAGATAGCATTCCTTTTAATTCAGAAAGGTTCTGAACTTATGCATCTCACAGTTTATTTGGCTCTGAGTAGGGTCTGTGAGGACAAGGCTGTGTTTACACACATGTAAGATGTCAGGAAAGATGCAACAACTTGAGTCATCCATTTAGAAGGGACTCTGGTGTTCATTTTTTCCTGGTGGCTGTTAGAAAATAGACTGGAAGTCAGTTTGGGTTGTTAGGTTTTTTCCAATTTAACAAAACTGGTCCCAAGTTAAGACAGAGAGAAGAAAAAGTAATTTTGACCAAACAGTGAACACACAGCCAATCTGGGGGAAGCAGTTCTTACCTAGTTACTGATGAACTCAGTTACCCTTTCTTTATTCTGTTGGAAGATAGGATTGCAATGAAGAACCAGAGAAAACCCATCATTGCAAACACTCTTAAACTCCTATATGTATTTCACCACAGCATATCCACTATTTCCTAGCAGACACTTTTAAAAGGGTTTGAGTAGAATACACTAGTTCATCATTAGTGTGGCTGATTGGGGGTGAATAGTACCATGAGAAAGCACAGTTAGAAGATTTACCAGCTGGGTTAGATGAATGCAATTCATTATTTGTTCATTCCTTAATAAATACTTAGGAAGCTAGATGGAAGGTGAAAGCATAGGGTTCCACCAGTACTGAAGTATATGAGTTTTTACTAAAGACTACCATAAAGGCTAAGATGGGTTCATAGGGAAGCTCTACTTCTGACAAATCCTGCATTCCCAAGTGAAAGGCTTTGTAATCCTTAAAATAATCTTCCTTTAAAGGGATACTGCTTCAGATGGGACTACTAGTTCTTGGAACTTGCTATAAAAGCTCTTATCCTCTATTGGGTAACTAGTGGTTACAGTCAATCTTAGAGAACCGGTCATCAGTAAAAGAGTTGTATGTCTGGATAGCCCATCTTTTTGTTATTTGGCTATTCACTGGATGGGAAGTCTCCATCAGTTCAAACATACTAGAAGCTTACTAGGTCATAGCCTAAGTACTTCAGTTAATTCAATACTGGATGGAGCTGATCTGAGCTTTTCCTTGGTCAAGGACCAGTTGTTTAAAGAATTATTTTCATAGAGTATCACACAACTGAAAGTAAAAAGGCAGAACAAAAGTGTTGCATTGCTGTTTAGCCCAACAATTCCTGTAGATTAAGGGCAAAGGTTCTAGCTAGGCTTCTGTTTATGTGCTAGAAGGATTAAAATGTAACTATTATGATCTACTGTAGCTTAACAAGTTTAGTTCAATTAAAAGAGGATGAAAACTGTTAGTCTTCATCCTAACACCATGCACTTTCTAAATATCTAGGAGCAAAGTAAATTGATTGCTGAATTGTTTCAAAGCTCAAGGGTTGCAGTTTTGACATGGTTGAAAAATATTCTATAGGTCAAACCATAAACATATCTGACATATATGTCAAACTTCTCAGAAGCTTCAATGGGGTCAGGGTTTAGTTCTGTATTGTCTGCTCCAGGGAGTTCAATTTCATGGAAAGGGCTCAATTTTATGAGATAAAATTTTGCATTACAGGCAAAGACTAGGGGAGAATATGTATGTATTTATGAGCATTACCACTTTAATCTTCCTCTTTCTTGTATGTGTATGAATTATGTTGATGCAAATAGTAGCTGTGTCTAACTCATCTGCCTGCCAGTGGAACATTGTTCCCTACAGGATGTTTTCTAATAATAATAGCTGACTAATTAGGGCCCTGAACAGGGACTTTTCATAACTGCTTTTTGTCTGTGTTCAAACTTCTGAGAGAGGATCTTTTCTCTAGGTATTGGGCATATCTTCCTCTTGTTCTCTCCTTAGTCACTTTGCTGGTTTATATTGGAATGACAGGACATTCAGCTTCCTTTTTTCTGAGGCACAAAAATAATTATTAAACAGAATTTTTTTTTTCAGGTTGTAAATTACCTATTACATACAAACATGTTTCAAAGTAGCATTGAAAATAACACCTAAATGAAAGAAGAAATAGGATAATTGTGTGGTTAAAACCATAGACAGGTAGCTAGAAAAATGAGGAAGCTAGAAAAGTAGGGTTCTAGTTGCAGCTTTGACCCATGCTTTTGGTATGACCTTGGACAAGATTATGAAACTGGTTTCCCCAGCTGGAAAAACATGGATGATGATATTCTCATACCTCATTGAATGAGTTCTGAGATTTCACTGAATTAAAAAAAAAACAGCACATTTTCACATACTCAGAAGCAAAGTTATATATGGGGGGAACAAATATTTGATATCTTGCCTAATGCATCCAATTTAGATGCTTCTAGGCTGCCCATTATCTGAGTATCTGAATTTTGTAGCCAATATGCACAGAAACTTGGATCTAGATTGTGAATGATTGGAATAATTCACAATACATGGCAGTGCTTTTTTATATTAATTTAAAATGTATATCTGATTCTGCTGATAAACCTTGTCAACAGCAATGAAAAATGTTGACTAATGTCCACATGTCTATGAGACATACAAGCCAGAAGAACAAACACACATCAAGCTGGAATACTTTGTAAAAAATGTAAAAGACCAATTAAAACACTGACATGCAGTTATCAGGAATTTGAGAGAGTGTATTTGGAAAACTGGGAAAACTAGCAGATCTACTCAAAGGAAATTGATTTTGAGGCTATAAACACCCATTAAATGTGATAAAAGTACACTGAAGGCTGGAAGATAGCAACTACAAAATTACCAGTTTATTAAGATTATTGATTATATGAGAACTGCTCTGGGAAATGATTTGGTTATGCTGCTACATCATGTTTGCATAATTTTATTTCTTTTTTTCTGTCAGTGGTTTTTCTAAAATTTTTCACTTTCTACAGACACAACTGAGAATCTGAGGCCTAATGCTTTCTTTTGGAGGATCTAAGCTAACATCTACTGTCTTTGAAAGGGGTAAAATCTCAGAATTGTAGCACCAGTGCAAGGAATTTAATTTACAGGGGAAAAATAGAAAAATATGTTTTTGTTTATTTTGGGGGCCCCCCTTCCCCACCCTACCTGCCAATTAAGCTACTGTAAAATTCCATAAAGTAAACTTTTTATCAAGCAGTAATGCACTTATCGGTCCTCCTTTTCCTTTCTTGTTCTCCACTTTTATTCTTAAAGAGTGTTGTGTCTATTTCCACTTGACACAATTTTTGGTTATTTAAAAGTGTTTTAGTTTACTTTTCTTTTTCTCTCAAACTAAGGACCTTGTCCTAACTATTCTACAAGCTACTAAAATTTGAAGGTTTCCATCAACTTGTAGGATGAATCCCTAACAAGCTGTTTGCTTGCTGTTCCTTTCAGTTTTTAGGGTTTAACAATTCCTCTTGCATCCCAGTCTTCTTCTAATATTATTTCTCTCCTGCCCTTCTCCATGTGGTTGAAGTGGAGAGCTAACAGTCAGAAAACAAGATCTCTATCATGATTCTGCTGCAAACTTCCTGTGTGACCTTAGGCAAGACAGAAAAACCTGCCCATGCCTCATTTTTCCTATCTTATATACCTACAGTAAAGGATTGTTATATGGTTAAGTTAATTTAAAATTTGATTTGAGATTTTCAGTGACAGAAGGCATGGGTGACCAGTGCCTCCTGGCTCGGGGG